GAAACAAAGTCTATTTTCAATAAAAGAAAAAAAAACGGACATCGACATTAAAAATAAATAAAACCTCTATTTTGTTACACTGCAAATATAAAAGAAATGTATAGATATCTAGATGCATATGACATACTCAAATCAAGACAAAAAATAATAAATCATTAAAAACAGCTATGATTTTGTAGGCAGGACAAATTTTCAATTGAAGGTTTTGTGGCTGGGTTGGTGTCCCAATCCCTCTACAGAAATTCTTGCCTGGTTACAGGAGATGGCTAGTTCAGACTCTATCCCTCATTACTTGGAGTCTCAGCTACCACCACCCTTCATAGATTTCTGGTAGTTTCAATTACACTAGGCTTCTAGCTCATCCCCAAGATGCGCCCCCAATTCCAGTCATCTCTCCCAGTACTCTCTCCTCAAATTCAAGACTCTCTTTCCTTAATTGTCAAACCCTTTATGAAGCCAGCATTGTGAAGGAACCAAAACCTGACAGAGATATAACAACAATGTCAGAAACAAAATTTACAGACCTCTCTCCCTGAGCTACAAAGATTCTAAAAGTTATCAAGACAATACTGGTAAACACAATTCAAGGAAGAAATAAATTTCATCATGACTAAGTTGTCTTCATTCCGAGATTCAGAGGTAGATCAACATATGGAAAACAACAAATGTTATCAAAAACACATATATTGATTTAAGATAGAACTCACAAGAGCTCTCAAAACAAAATCATTAAATGATAAAAGTAATCGTGTTAGATGCACACCTAAACATAATAATGTTATGTGCATCATGCATATAGTCAACACCATACTAAATGGAGAAATACTCAAAGAGGTCTCTCTAAGATCAAGAAGAAGAAAGGGGTGAATACTCTCTCTTCTCCTTTTCAATATAGTGTTGAAGTCTTACACAAAGCAGTAGACAAGAGGAGGAAATAGGGATACAAACAAGAAAAGAATTTGTAGAAGTCCTATTAGCAGGAAATATTATATATATACACATATATAATTTATATATTTATATATTTATACATATATATATATATAAAACACAAACAATTCCATATGATTTCTTGAAGCTGATAAAGACTTCCAGGAATGTGGTAAGATCCAAAATTAATATACACAAATCTCTAGCATTCTCATGTGTCAGGGGAAAGTATACAAAAGGAATGAAACAATACCATTCATATGGAAACCCAATGTATAATACTTAGGAACAAATATAACTAAGGAAATGAAAGACATGTAAAATGAAAACTTTAATACATGACAGAAAGACACATGAGGATGGGCAGACCCATCATGCTTGTAACTGGAAAAATTAATTGTATGAAAATGGATATCACTCCAGAATCATTCTATATGTTCAAAGCAACCTCATCTAAAAACCCAGGTTTATTTATCTCAGACTTGTGAAAACACAATCAAAAAAGTTTATATGGTTGAACAAAAGACCAAGATAGCTGAGGCAACCTTGAACCAAAAGAATATTGTGTGTAGAATCACACAAACTATAGCATGGTACTGGCATATGAAACAAACACATAAATCAATGGAAAAGAACAGAGGAGCCAGATATAAATACACACAGCTAAACCTATCTGTCTATGTACAAGAATGTCAAAAATTATGTTAATAAAGTGTAGCATCCTCAACAAATGATGGTGGAAAAACTTTATTGGCAGAAAAATGAAACTTCATGGTTATATTTCACCCTGAGTAAAACTCATCTCCAAATGCATCAAAGATCTCAGTCTAAGATCCAATGAATGGAAATTTCCAGAAGAAGCAGGGTATACACTTCAACCTAGCAGCACAGGGAAGGCCTTCCTGTGTAGGACTGTGTAGCACAGAAACTAAGACCAATAACTTACAAAAAGAACTTTATTAGAGTACAGATTCTGTGCAGCAAAAGAAAGCATCACTTGAGTGAAGAATTAACCCAAACAGTGTGAGAAAATATTTGCTAACTGTATATCCAATAGAGGATTAGTGTTTTAGAGATGCACAGAACTGAAAATTAATAAACAAAAAACCAAACTAATTAGAAAGATGAGCTTTTGAACTGGACAGAAAGCTATCAAAAGAAGAAATATAAATGGCTAGTAGATATTTTAGAAAGTTTTCAAAATCCTTAGCAACCAGGGAAATGCAGTTTAAAATTGTGTTAAGATTCCATCTCATGTCAATTGGAATGACAATGATCAGGAATTCACATGACAGTAAATTGTGATGTGGATATGGGGAAGAGGACCCATACACACTGTTTCTGGTAAAGGCACAACTCCATTCAGTGATTTTATCTGGCTCTTCCAGATTTGGAGAGGCTTCCAAGCCAGACTAGGGGGTTAATCTTTCCTAATGAGAAAGTGAAAGCTAAATTTCCAGAGGAAAAAGGAACTGGAAACTAAGACATCCAGCAGGAATTTAAACAGCAGTGCCATCCCTGACAACACTCATTCTCACAAGCATTTAGAAGACACTCCAGGATATGTTGTAGATAAGTATCTGCACTGGATGCAGTGCAGATACTGTGAAATAAAGGGGCCAGACACAGACCGTGGAAAATATGAAAATGCCAGCCACTGTAGAAAGTCAGACAATAACAAATAATAGCCTAAAAACAAATCTCTTTCTTTGGTTTTATAAATGAAATCAATTTGAACTCAGCCACAATTTTTCTTTAACTCTAGTCTGTGGCTGCTGGTTTGTATATAGGGCATTGTTAAGAAATGCTTTAGAAATAGTACCACCCTTAAGAGAAAGATTTGCTAACCCCTGGTGCATGTGCTTTGCCTTGCATTAAAACATGAAAGGAGATACAGTCCTCTACAGAAGTAGAGGACACCATCTTTCAGTCATAAGGAAAGCCTTATAAAAAGCCTGGAGATCAGAGGGTGGAGTTTGCCACTAGTTAACCACAGAGAACATGCAGTGGTGGTAACATGTTTAATCCCAGCACTTGAGAGGAGGAAGCCAGAAGATCAGGAGTTCAAGGCCACGAGATTGAACCAGCCTAAAAGAGAAACAGAGCTGGGCAGTGGTGGCACATGCCTTTAATCCCAGCACTCGAAGGTGGAGACAGGAATATAAGGCTGGTGGAGACAGGATCTTGAGTCTCCATTCATTCTGAGATTTTATAGAGGTAAGAAGTCTCTAGTGCGGGTTCCTCTGCTTTTCTGATCTTTCAGCTTTCACCCTTGATATCTGACTCTGGGTTTGTATTGTTAAGAATAATTAGGATCATGCTTCAATATTACATCTTGAATAAAAGTAGATTTAGACCATTAATAAAAAACAATAATAAAATCAAAACAAAAAAACACAAAAAAGGAATATGTAGAACTTTGGAACATAATGAAAAGACATATACTAATCACAGGCATAGAAGGAAAAGGCAAATCCCAGGTGAATGGGATCAGATATTTAACAAAATCATAGAAGAAATCTTCTCCAAACTCCCCAAGCTAAGAAATGATATACCATGTAGCACAGAGAACACTAAATAGCACCAGAAACACATACACACACACACACACACACACACACACACACACACACACACACACACCACATTATAGTTAAAACATTAAATATGCAAACTGAGAAAAGATATCAAAAACTACCAGAAAAAATGCATAAATCACAAACAAGGGCAAGTCCATTGACTTCTCAATGTAAAATTTAAAAGACAGGAGGTCTTAGGGAAATGTGCTCCAAATTCTATGAGACCACAGATGCTAATCCAGACTACCTTACCCAGCAAATATATCTCACAGGGTTGAAGGACAATGAAAAACTTTCCATGATACAGGGTATCAGAACTATGTCTGTTAACTAATATGATGGCTAATCTTGTTTGTCAAGTGCACATACATGAAAAAATCATTTCCATAAGATTGGCCTGAGGGCATGTGTTTTGGGCATTTTGTTGACAGCTAATTGATATAGAGAGACCAAGCCCATTTGACATTGTACCATCCCTACACAGGCTGACCTGGGCTATGCAAGAACCATGGCTGAATATGAGCCTGAGAGTAAATAAGTATTTTACATTTGGACATGGCTTCTCCATCAGTTTCATGCTTTGAGTTCCATGTCTTGGCTTCTCTAAATGATAAAGTATAAACTGTGAAACAAACCCTAGCATAGCCAAATGTTTTTTTGGTTATGATGTCTAACATAGTGACAGAAACAAAAGTAGAACAGAAATAAGTCACAGGAAAATGAGGAATTGCTATGATAGACCTGACTGTTGTTGCTTTGGAGGATTGTAGTGGCATTTGGATGCTTGGGATGTAAATACCATTGAGTGCTCAGAATTTATTGTGCTATTCAGTGTATTCCATAGATTATGAGGAAGTCCAGAGACAAGGAAGGATGCTGCCCATTGTTGTAAGGCTCCTAGACTTTGTGTTTGAAGAAATGAGAGAATAAATGTTGGAGGAGTGTGAATATTGTATCTATGAAGAAACACACATTTCCCAAACATATATCTGGGCATTTCCATAGTGTAAGAAACATAACTTTAAAAGCATTTTGTTAACTTACAAAATATTTGGTGTGAGTAGGAATAATGTAATGCTTGAGATAGAAATTTGCACCAGGAAGCTCTGGTAAGAACTAGGCCTCAGAAAAAAGTTACAGGTAGGCTACCAGGCAAACCAGATATGAGCCTAGCCCAGGATATATCTATGATATGCTAATGAGGGAATCCCCAGGTGGTACTGATGTGCTAGTGAACCAGTCCCAAGCCATGATCTCTGATTGTGCAAAGCTACTGCATAATTAAATGATAAAATTACTGAAACTTTAGGAATGCTCTGTAGGATCACAACCTTGTGCTCATGAAACATGACTTCTCTAGCTTTGTGCTTATACCCAAAAGAAAGAGTTCTTGAAAATCTATGCATTGTTTTAGTCATAGTGAACTTTGAACTTTCAACACTGTTACTGGTGTCACACAGTTATGTCTGTCAGCCATAGCCATTGACCTACCTCACAAGGAGCTTCTGGACTTCCTGGACCTCCATCAGTGCCATCCTCCCTGGCTGCCACAGTTGAAAGATTTCACAGTATATGAGGGTCAAGCCTGAAAACTTCCAAAGCATCCTCACTGGAGAAGATTTCCCAGCAGAACCCATCGGCAGCACTTTTGTAAAGCAGCTGTTTCCTGTTTGGTGAGATATCTGTATAATGTATATATTATTGTAATATTTTAATGAATGTTTGCATGAATAAACCTTGTATATTCAAACAGAAATTCTTGGGTGGATGTCTTGATAGCCTAGTGCCTTAGGGTTAAGAGGCTCATGGACTGTGCAAAAAGGTGGGGTCATTTTGGTATCTAAGCATCATCCTTGATGCCAAGGAACAGCTTGTTTGCCCTTACAGGTGAAATGTCTCCTTGTGTCTAGGGTTTCAGGGTAGCAGTGATTCATCGAAAAAGGGAAGTGCCCCTGAAGTCTGGTAAAATTTTAGAATGTGGAGGATGTTTATTGTGGCTTATTCAAGAACAAATATTATATCGAGGACATATCTCTGATGAGTAATTTTTCTCTGTTTGGTTCTTAACAGGCAAAGGACAATTTAATGAGGATGATATAGAAGTGAAAGAGTGTAAGGAAGGTAGAGAGATATGAGGGAGAAAGAGTATAGGTTCTTCTTGTGTCTATCAGGAGGCACTTGGGTAGATGTGACTCAGCAGGAGTGGACTGTTTTGACCCAAGGCTTCTTTTCCTGCTGACAAGTTCTTTTCTGCTGATTGCATCTATCTCTTTAGGCTCAGAGAGTATCTGACGCAAGGTCCAGAATCATTTGTCACTGGGACACAGAGTGGTGGAAGTTCATCTGTAGATCTTTCCGAGCTGGGGTTCACTGTAATTTCCTGATGCAAGATCACTCAGGTGTCTGCATGAATTCTGACCTGTGTCCCCACAGGTCACATATCCTACCAAAAGAGGGTCTTAGGGTATATGTTAGAATTTGAAAAATGAATCAATACATTTGAAAGTAGCAAAATAAAGAGCAGATACATTTAGAGATCACCAAGCCAATTCAGACTACAGTGTCAACTCAGTCTTCTATGTTTAGTCATATAGATGGTATATATGATTTATTGTGAAAAACTTCTAGTGGTGAAGAGGATGAAGGATTCCCTGTCATTTCTTCATGCTCAGGGACCTCTGTTCTTCATTCATGACTGTCTTTGAACAGTAAGTGTATTAAGAGAGTTTAACTGGCCTACCTGATGTTACTGAGTTGTGCCAAGTTGATTCTAGCCTCAGAAAAGTTATGCATATACTTTCAAGTCTTTCATACATTCCAGAGGGACTCCTCACTCTGGCATCTCTATGGTATTGGAACTATTAAAGGGTATCTCAGACACAGAGAGAACAGGATGCATAATCATTCTACTAATTATTTCCAGGATATTAGTGTCAAATGAAAACTTCAGGAAGAAGAATTGAAAATTTTATTGAAGAATTTATATTAATTATACTACAGTGCCAAGTACCCAATCATGGCAGAGTGAGAAATTCTTAAGAAACATCCAAATGACAGAGGTTAGTGTTCGTTATCCATAATTTCAGGAAAGAAACATAGGGAACATAGACTCTATTTTGAATAGTGTTTGATAACAAACTATATTCATTTTACTGATGTGACAAGGAGAATACTAAGTCAGCAGCCGCTTCTTATAGAGTCCCAGCTCAGTGGTGAGATGTCAGCACTTCCAGAGAGCATGTAGTGTTTCAAGTGAGAATTCACACAATCAACTGTTTTCTCCATTTCCTGATTTTTGAGTTCTTTCCATTTACCTCCGCTTGTTTCTCAGTGGAATCCTATTACAAAACACGTATCACTGTGATCATTGAACTGTAAACTTTTCTATCAGTGAGTTAATTGTTTATAATCTCACACTGAGGCTTACTTTTTTATTCTTGTTGCTAGTTTTTCTTTGAAGATTCTCTGGAATTTGGGACAGGTTTTCACAGACCTGTAAAAAAGGTCGATCACACAAAAATTTGTATTCAGAGATGCTGTTAGGACTCTAATGGAAAATGGTGATAGGCACTGAAGAAGAGGGATTCCCCATTGAAGTTGAACCATATTCTCTTTGAGAAAGACACATTACACTGTTGTTCTACCTGGTTCCTGACCAGGAAATGATTTCTTTGTGCTCTGTGATCATCTGTCAGCACCATTTTTGTGGTTACAAAAACCAATTACTGTCATAGTACTGACCATGATGATGACACTGTACTTGGTATTTGACAGAATATAAGATAGTAAAAGAACTCCACAGATATGTAGTCTTTTAAATTCCTTCAAATGAATGAGAAACACAGAACTGATACCTGTGAGTGTAAGCCTACTCAATCACATTTACTACAATAAATTTACCAGTACTATGGGGAATAAATAGATGAAGTCCTGACTAGATGTGTGCTGTTAACATGGTCATGGACATGTCAAAGACCCCAATGGCTCAGACTCATTGAAATGCAAAAAACTTACCTCAATGCAAAAAGGGAGACGGTAAACACTTCTATTCCAAGTGGAAAACTGATGAACAATTGACCTTTACCTAAAATCAGTGTATGCAAGAACTATCAACTATACCTCCCTCCTCTATGACATTCACTGCCCGAGAGTGCTCCAGTACAGAGAGCTGCCAGCAAAACTCTTCCTCTCCTTGTGTTATGTATAATAAATGTCCTGAGTTTCTGGTTTTCATAGTAGGTGCATCACATCAGAGTGACCGGAGCCCGCCCCATTACAAATGATCTGAAGGTGTGTTTGTTGTTTCTTTAGTTTTTGTCATTTCTTTATTCTCTAATCATCAGAGTTAGATTTTCAGAACTCAGCTGTACTGGATGTCACAATACTAACCATTAGATTTGCAATGGTTACTTGTTATGAAACAGAAGGAAAAACTTCTGATCTTTCCGTTAAAAATGGCAAGAAAGGCTTGTTCTCTCTTTTGAGAACCCCCCCCCCCCAAAAAAAACAGAATGGAAAGACTTTTTGGATCTAAGTACAAAACTTCCCAATATTATGGTACATTGTTCTTGTCATGTGAGTGAGCATCAGGTCTCCAAAGTCTTGGGAATTGGCTAACTTCAGGCTGGGTTCCATGGGGGTGAGTCATAGAAAATTTGAAGTTCCATAAAGAAATATCATAGTTAAAATCATCTTAACATAGTGACAATGAGTAAGTTTTCAAAAGTAGCAATTGGTGGATGTCATCACAGCCAAACCCATAACGTTCTCCTCCATTGTCACCATCCTGACTTCAAATTGCTTCCTATTGCTTCATATACTTTATATTTACTTCATATATCGAGAGAAAGATCAAAGAGATTAATATGTGGTATTTGCAATTTCTGTTGAAATTTTTAACTCACTGATTATCTAGGTAGCTTGGTAAGTACTGAGGGAAAATCTGGTGTTATACAATGGATCTATAAGTTTCACTTTATGAAGTTACTGTAAATTCTGATATATGTTTTATCTAGAATGTTTGAAAAGTTCTATATGTATAAATAGATTTCCCATAATCTTTTTTTATTTTTTAAATTTTTCGAGACAGGGTTTCTCTGTGTAGCTTTGCACCTTTCCTGGAACTCACTTTGGAGACCAGGATGGCCTCGAACTCACAGAGATCCACCTGCCTCTGCCTCCTGAGTGCTGGGATTAAAGGCGTGCACCACCACCGCCCAGCTGACATCCCTTAATCTTTTTCCCCAGGAAGTTCAATTTCTAGAAATTAATTTAATACAGTTTTCCTTTTCATAAGACACATGGGCAATGACATTAGGTTTGACTCGGGGCTTCAGAGTTTCAATAGCATCAACATACAACATCTCCTCTTGTCTCTGAGGAGAATCCTCCTTTTCTTCAGACCACCACAGTCTTGAAACAATGTTGGTGATATCTATGTAAAGACAGTGTAATAACTAATTAATTATGTAATAATACTGAAAAGTTGTTGCTTCCATTGAGTTCTCAATGTTGCATTGCATCATTAAAAAATACAGACAGGGGCCCCCACCTGGATCAGGCCCTCTGAAAAGGTAAGACAGTTGATTGGCTTGATCTGTTTGGGAGGCATCCAGGCAGTGGGACCAGGTCCTGTGTTCAGTGCATGAGTTGGCTGTTTGAAACCAGGGGCTTATGCAAGGACGCTTGGCTCAGCCTGGGAGGAGGAGACTGGACCTGCCTGGACTGAGTCTACCAGTTTGATATCAATACTCGGGGGATCCCAATCCTTTGCCCTGGAGGAGATGGGAATGGGGGGGGGTTGGGCTGGGGGAAGGGGAGAGAGGCGGGAGGGGGGAGAACAAGGGAATCCGTGGCTGATATGTAGAATTAAATTATATTGTAAAATAAAATAAAATAAAATAAAAAATACAGACAATAGAGCCGGGCGGTGGTGGTGCACGCCTTTAATCCCAGCACTTGGGAGGCAGAGCCAGGCGGATCTCTGTGAGTTCGAGGCCAGCCTGGGCTACCAAGTGAGTTCCAGGAAAGGCACAAAGCTACACAGAGAAACCCTGTCTCGAAAAACCAAAAAAAAAAAAAAAAAAAAAAAATACAGACAATAGATTTAACATGGGAAGAGTATATATTAGAATTTCAAGAATAATCTAAAATTTGAGTTATCAAACATTTAGAGTTTGAGAAGTACAACTTCATTTATCAACTCCCTTTACTTCATTAATTATTATAAAAAAAACTGAGAAGTAAGTTATGATAAAATTTTCACTTGTGTCCAGCACTAGGGGAAAACCATAGTAATGGTATCTGAAGCTAGAAGGGGAGGGATCAATGCATGTCATTTCAGCATGCTTCTTGGCCTGCAGGATCAGCACCATGGATGCAGGTCTATTACAAGTGTAATACTGTAAGCATGCTTCAACATGTTATTATAAAGTAGGGAAAGACAGGGAGAAGGACAGAAAATGGGAAGAGAATGATGAAGGAAGGAATGAACAAAAGAAGGAAGAAACAAAGTTAGGAGGGAGGGATGGAGGCCAAGAGTGAGGGAGGAGGTGTGTGTGGAAAGAAAAGGTAAGGTGAGAGAATTAGAAGAGGCTTCTATAATGAGGGTTGAGAAATTCATTGATATGGATATAACAATATGCCATCAGAAGTCTGTTATTGTTATGGTCTTCAGCAGAATAATAGTGAACTCTTATCTCAGGGTCTTGTCTCATTAACAGTGTCAGGTATGGGCTCCATATCAGGCAGTTGACCTTAAATCCAAGAGAATGTGGTGACAGATTAGTGACACTGTATCATCAGTGAGAATATTGCAGGTGGGCCATTATTGTGTGTCCCAGAGTTTGAGGCAAGGCAACATTGCTGATTATCTTTCATCACAGGTATCATGCACAGAACCTTCTAGATCCAGGACCGTTACCTGTGGGGATATATTGTGCACCCCAATAAAATTTATCTGGGGATAAGAGGACAAAGCCAGCCACTAAATTAGACATAGAGGCCAGACAGTGATGGAACACACCCTTAATCTTATCACTCTGGATCTATGTAAGTTCAAGACCACACTGGGAACAGAGCCAAGCCGTGGTGGCACACACTTTTAATCCCAACACTTGACATCACATGCCTTTGGTTGGGAATCACAAACACCTTTAATCCCAGGAAGTAAGATGTCTGGGCAGAGAAAGATATATAAGCATGAGAAAAAAGGAACTCATGCTCTTGAGGCTGATGATTTCATAGAAGTAAGAACTTTGCTGGCTTGTTCTGTTTTTCTGATCTTTCAACTTTCACCCCAATATCCAGCTCTGGGTTTTTTATTAATAAGACCATTAAGAATTCGTGTTACTACTGGAAATGCATGAACTGTAACCAATGGCTGAGGAGCCCCCATGGAACTGAACCAGGCCCTGGATAAGTGGGATAGTTGATTAGCTTGAACTGTTTGGGAGGCCCCCAGGCAGTGAAGCCAGGATCTGTCCTTGGT